AAAACGTGTTCTTCCAGACTATCCTCTACATATAGATTGTTTTAGAACAAAGGAGATCTTTAAAAAAGTATGTTATCCCGAAAGTCAATTAACAGGGAAAAATGCAGAACGAAAAGAGAAACTAGAAAAACATTTTTTTCTGAACCGCCATTTTGTTATAAATTGACTTTTGAAATGATCTTTCTGCAGATTTACCTTAAAATTGACAGCGGATTTTAGTTATAACGAAGAAGTGAAGTTGCTAAAGCCGAAATTAATGTTTGGATCGCTATTAATAATTTATCTATGTATATAATAAAGAAATTCGCAAAAGACCATTTTAACTGTGTGTGTACATTATAAGTGCTGCTGCCATATATTTTTCTTCAGAAGCTGTCTGTCAAAGTCTGTCAATAGGGAATATGCTTGTATTTTTTTTTCTTTTTTTAAACGATTCTACTTGTTATAAAAAAACCACAAAAAAAATTGACGCGAAAATATTCAACCATTGAGCTAAAAATAATAAAATAAAATTACGACCATTTTCGAGCGACTAAAACGCGACCGCTGTTGTCATGAGACAATTGACGTCAATCGTCTATTCCATTCATAACAAACGCTCAGATGTCACTTCGACTATTTCTATATAAATTAACGTAAATGAACTGTGTATTGTCAACACAGCGACGCCATATTAGATAAGCCACTTGCTTCGACCAATAGTGTTGTTGGGAATTTAAAAAAAGACACTTTTTAATAATTACGGCAATTTGGCGTCATATGCATATTGGCTATTGTCACTTGCACTGACAAGAGCTCGTTCCTATTGTTGTGAACATTTCATATGAAGCTACTCATATTACTCAAAGCAATGTATTTTATGGTGCGGTGAGTAAGTATGATACTATCAACCTCATATATACTGTCGAAGATGGCTCCAGCTTTGTTTAAATAACCAACTGGGGTGAACAAAGGCGCCAACGACCCGATTGAACTATACAGCAGCCAACGTATGACAAAGAAAACAATTTCCTCAGAGTTTTTTTAAGTGTTAAAAAATAAACGACAGGAACCAAACTAATTTTGTGTGTGTGGTAATATATGCCATTATTTTTATCTTATCTACTGAAAAAACACGACTCGAGTCCTGTTAATTTACAAAACTACCTCCCATAAAAATAAAAGACAAGTCTTTTCATAGAGATCCATTCATCAGTTTAGGCTACAAATTTCAACAAAGATCCATCTAAATTTTCGAATTCACAATAACCGTAAGAAGTAACATTTATTGTAATTGGAACAAAGCCTAGAATAGCACATATGCTTTTGTTTCTTGAATTTTCATCCCGTAAAATTTACTGTTTCCGGGAAATATGGTTGCTGTGTGACCCTACCTCTATCTAACTCCGCATCGAAACGAAGACTCGTATCCTTCATCGAATGCAAATGAAGCGGTAGACAAGAGCAGGCG